GTTTAAATGGGCTCTTTTAGGGTGTATAAAATTAAAATTCTAAGAGAAGAAAAAAGTATGGATCATAATTTAATCTGCAGCTTTTTAGTCATTCTTTTTTTAAATGTTATTTTTTATTGTTGATCTACAATGTTAGTTTCAGGTGTAGAGCAAAGTAACTCAATTATACATATACATATACACACATATATATTTACATATATTTGCAGATTCTTTTCCATTATAGTTTATTACAAGAAATTGAATGTAGTTCCCTGTGTTACACAGTACATCCTTGTTGTTTATCTATTATATATAGTAATGTGTATTTGTTAATCCCAAACACCTAATTTATCCTCCTTCTTTACTCTTTGGTAACCATAGTTTGTTTTCTATGTCCATGAGTCTATTTCTGGTTTGTAAATAAAATCTGTATTTTTTTTTTAGATTCCACATTTAAGTGATATCATATGATATTTGTCTTTCATTGTCTGACTTTAAAAAAAAAAACCTATGAGACAATTTCTTAAAACAAACAAACAAACAAGCAAAAAACTATGGATCATAATTTAATCTACAGCTTTTTAGTCATTCTTAGTGGTATGTAAATTAATGGGATGTTTTACAGGATACGTTACCCTAGATTTAATGAAATACCATAAAGTTCTGCTCAGCCAGGTGTAAAAATCAGGCTTCTTTTTCACAGCATGGTGTTGTAATAAAACATAGGCCTTGGAGACCAAAAACTCTCCCAAAGGAACGTTTGTGGGTTATGTGCAATGTGCCTAGCAGAGTGCCTGGCAGTTACATTGCCTTAGAGACTCATCCTGAGAATTGTTCTGAGCTCTGGTCTGAATCCAGAGGCCAGATCCCAAACTTTACAGGTACACAAAATACAGATTTGTGGGATGAATGAATTTCTGAAAACTCAAATCAGTTTCATATATCATATGGCTTAGTCTCATATTTTAACTTTTCTTAAAATTTTTTTTTGTATATAATATATTTATACTTTTGCCTCCCAGAACTTTTGTATGTGAACTAAGTTTCAGGAACTGTGCTGCCTTTTCACACATAGAAGCAGGTTTTTATATGCTTATTTTAAAATGGAAGAATCTGACGTGTCAAGAGATAAGTGACACAGAGCTAATAGCATAATTAGGATTGGAATTCACATTTATCAGTTTTAAAAGTCCATATTCTTTATACTATATGTATATTAAAATAAGCCTGCCATTCTCCAAATCATACCTAACAAAGTACTAGAATCATAGAGTAAGTTGCTAAGAGAAGAAGCTAAATATTACAACCAAATTGTGCAAAGTTCAACTGTGAAAATTAAAAAGAAAGACAAACCGTTTATACTAAGCTGGCATTACTCAGGAAAAGAAGGAAAAAAGAAAAGAAAAGAAAAAGAAGACGGAATGGGATAAAATTTCCTACATAATGAACAGAGAATAAAAGAGTCATGTTTATAAATGACAAAATATCCTGTCTTTTTTTTCCTAATGTTATGACAAGGGCAAAAATGGTAATTTGATTGCCAAGATGCTTTTTTGTTGTTGTTGTTATTACTTTTGTGAAGAAATTCAACCAGGCAGAAAATGTTTTGGACAATTACAAAATTTCTTCATTGGGAGTCCAATTTCCTAAGTACTATCAACTTAAACGTGAAGATGTAGAATCATTGGCTCTACCCACAGTGGTAATAGAACCAAGTGTGACAAAGACTTGTTTAGTCTGATTGGCCAGAAGTTATTAAGATGATCAGAGCAATTTATGATGTGTGACTGTCATAATTAAATGCCTGAGCCAGTCTTTGTAGGTTGATTTCATCTGAGACTCAAACTGATTTTCTACATGTGAAACCAAGTCCTCCCATAAACAAGAACTGCATTCCTAGAGTTCTGAAAATAACATAAGAACTGCTAACAGACTGGAAGATCACTGAACATCCTGCTGTGCTCCTGAGCACAGTACAAACCATTAATTTGATTAAAAAAAGAATGTAAAAACTAAGAAAACTTTTAGAGAAATATTCAAAGCTGCATAATTGTATTTTTTAATTAAATTTTGCTGTAGCATTTTAAGTGCAATGACAATGGATATGCATTGTTAGCTATGATTTTTAAATCTCTAAAGTATCTTAAAGAAGATTAGTCTATTTGTTTTCTTCACATTTAACTCATGGAACTATTGTTTGATACAAATTATCTGAGATATTAAAAGATATATTTTTAAAAGTACTTTGACATGAGAAGCAGCCTATTTCCCAAAACACAGAAAATTGACCATAAAGACTATGGTCTATTCCTGCAAAGAGCCACTATTTTGGTTTTTAAAATTTTTCTAACCATATACTATTCTTTTAAGCAAAGAACATTTTCCTTCTATTATCCTTTTCTATGGAAGTAAGCAAGATGTAACTTGAACCTGAGAAGTGGGCTATGGATTTTTGAGTAACTTCAAAAATGGACTCAAAAGTGCGTGTAGAAAGATAAAAGCCCCATGCATATTTAAAGTAATTTTTAAAAAGATGCCAAAGAAGGACTGACTAATCTAAGCAGAATTTAAGGCATATGACAAAACTATTATTAAAAAATGTTGTACTAAAAAAACTTCTTTAAAATGTGGTACTACCCTAGAAAAATGTAGGTAGATAGTGGAATGGAATACAGTCCAGAAAGAGGAGAAAAAAATGTGATTGAGGTGAAATCACAAATTATCAAGGAAAAGATGGATTCTTTATTATCAGTAGTAGAAAAATTAGGTCACCACATGAAGAAAAATAAATTTGGAATTCATGCTTCATTTCATAAAAAGAAAAGAGAAGAAGAGAAGAGAATCCACTCCAACTGGATTAAAGGCCTAGATTTGAAAGGCAAAAATCTAAAGCTTTTATGGAAGAAAATATAGGAATTTAACTTTGTGATCTCATTTATGGGAAACCCCAACAAGATTCTAGAGCACAAATGAGAAGAGGAAGAGTTGATATATTTGACAATATCCAAACATTAACATTCTTTTTAACAAAAGATTTCATAAGCAAACTTAATGGGCAGGTATAGATTGGAAGAAGACATTTGTAATGTGAAAATCAACAAGTGATAATTATTTTATACACACACACCCAAACACATACACACACTGTGTGTATTCATTTCCTGCAAATAAGCAAGAAAGCCTGTAAACCCAGTAACACATGAATACAATATATGCATAGGAGTTCACAAAATCATGAGAATTGGATCAAATAGTTAATAATAGCAAGTATTTACTAATTTAAGCAATCAAGACTTATCAGACTGACAAAAATTAGAAAACTTCATAATATCAAGTGCTCGTAATATCAACTGATGGTGGAGGTAAGATGAGGCTGTCACTCTGGGCAGTAATTAGCCAGTATTTAGTGAAATTAAATATTCATAACTATGGTCCAACAATCCCACACCTGGTGTACACCCCAGAGAAACTCTCCCCACTTTCATAGGAAAACCTATTTATTACAGTGTTAGTTATGTTAGCGAGAGAGAGAGACAACTACACATGTTTATCACCAGAGGAATATGTATCATATGAAAATGCAAACCATGAGTCCTAGATTTACCAAGGCTATTGGGGTCTCCCAGGAAGCCCCTAATAGAGAATGATCCTCTTCCTTTCTTGGATTCTGAACAAATGGAGGAATAAAAGTAAGAATAGATGGAAGTCTAAATATTGCTTTTGGGGGGAGGGTATAGCTCAGTAGTAGAGTGTGTGCTTAGCATGCATGAGATGCTGGGTTCAATCCTTGGTATCTCCACTAAAAATAAATAAATAAAATATTGCTTTTATTGCTGATAGTGTGGCACTGGAAGACGTAGTTTAGTGTGGGAGAAAATAGGCTACCTGAAAACCAAAGTAGGTAGAGTCTTTGCCTCTTAGCAGAAGATAAAGTGGACGCCCTGCAGGCAGCCAGGACCCACGAGCAAACAGGCAGAACACAGCAGAGAGTGCCTGCCATTCTCAAATTTACCAGTCAAGAAGTCACTCTGTCTCTCAAAGGCAGAGTGAAAAACAAGGTAGGATGAGGGTATGGGAAATTGACATCCCCTATGAAGATTAGCAGCAGGGACAGATGTAAAAGCATGATATTGGTGAAAAAGTCAGTTCATTATACATATAATTTTCTAAAAGTACACAAGTGTGAAACAGTGTTATTTTTCAGGGGTGCTCTTCTAAGGAAAAACATGGAAGGTTGATTAGAAAGGGGGAAATTACATAGGCTTTCTGGATGTTTATGTCCATGGGGGATTAATACTAAAAGTTTAAACATTTGTGAAAGAGGAGTTTTGCACAAATATAGAAAGATCGTGTCACCTGAATTTAGGCATATGAACAACTCACTCTTGTACTTCTGGGATTAAAAAGACATTAGGGATGCAGAAATAATATAGCATTTTATTATTAGGCATTCATTTGCATTCGAATATATGACCAAAAAATCCAGTAACAACAGAAAAGAGTTACTGAATGACTGCAGTGGTCTCAGGACGCAGTGATGGACAAAGTATTGAGCTTTCTTTAGAGCTTAGAATCTTTGGAGTGACAGCTTTCATTTGTACATAAAACTACTCTGCCCCAAGAGAGATCATTATTAATTAGAAGTCATGTTTGTGAGAGAGAAAGGAAGGCAAACAAGAAATCAGTTCAGTGTTCTAGGTATCTGTTTCACTTTCTGTGTTCCTCACTTGTGGAGTGTGCCCTTTCTGCTGTTCCATCTCTCACTAGTGATGGGGACATGTTGCTAATTCAGTTCCTCTTGTTCCCAGAATCGGAGGGAATAAACAGAACCAGTTTTGCTATTTTTGTTACATTAATATCTTGTGAGAAATATGCTAGCAAACCGCCCTGCATGGAGCCAGTGAGGGGGCCAGGCCGGAGGCGAGGGGGAGAGCCAGCTGGGGCGGACCTCCCTGGCTCAGGGATGCTCCAGACTGGATGCCTTGTCGAGGCACCTCCTGTTGGGGCTGCGTGTGCAGCGCAGGGCTGCTAAGCGGCCCGACTCCAGCACTGGAAAGTACCCCTCCGCCCCACAGCAGACAGATGGTGTTTCTTCTGCGTCTGTGTGGAGGGGGTGGGGGAGTGGTGGTAACAATAAGCAGCAGTAGCCACTTGACAGGCTCCCTGCTGCCAAGAATTTGCATGACGAGCGCTTGCTGCCATCTGGAGAACTTCAGCTCATTGAGGAAGAATCAGCCTCAGCCTCACAGTTCTCTTTACCCCCAGTCTGTGCTGAGGATCTCCCTTCCCAGGGGAGGAAGAGAGCAAAAGGCCAATCAATCAGATGAACTTGGCCTGGGGGAGGCAAGCTGTGCGGTTTCTTAGGGGACGTCCTGGTGAGCTGGGCTTGCTGGTTTAATCCAGAGGACGTGGGGACAGGTCTGGCACCTCAGAGCGGATTAGGTCAGTGGAGTCCGTCACCTTTTGAACATGGGTTTGTTTATACGGCAGTGGTTGGTGGAGGAAATGTGGAACTGGAAAGGAGAAAACTCAAATAAGTACCCCCTTTCCCACGACCTCCAGCGTGGAGTTCAGTGAGGCAGAAGAATGACCGGACACCCCGGGGATCCGTTCACAGGCCACAGTGCGCTGGATGGTAAACACATGTGTGGGCCATTTCACGGACACATAACAGGTTTCCAGCTGCTAAGACTCTGCGTGTTAAAAGCAAAATATATTTTTCAAAGTGTGAAAAAGATTCCACTTAATACTAGTTTTAATATTAGTTTTACTTTTAAAATATTTGCTTTCCATCGTTCCTTTCTTGTTAATTATCTGGAAACATTATAGTTATGGTATTTTTTTCCCTAAAATAAATTTTTTTTCTAAAAAGTATTTTTTTAATCCAAAATGTCTCTAATTGATACTTAAATTTTAAGATAACATTTTCAAATGCCATCTTAAATGAAACAACATTGTATTGGGCAATTATATCCTGTACGACTTATATTTAATATACAAAACCACATAGTTTTATGTGTCTTCCCAGAATTTCCAGTCTCAAACAACACCAAGGGAATTCCTCAGAGGAAAAAAACATCGACTTACATATATTAATTATGGAATAATAAATGTGTGACAGTAATGCCACATTTACCAGTGACTCTCTGTAAGATTTGCAAAGGTGGAAAATGTATTATGTCTGTCCTCATTAACCTAGCACCTAGCGCAGTTCCCACCATGGAGGAGGGTCTGTGTCTGTTGCTGCTTTGGGAATTAAAGAAACAAGTTACAAATTGATGGCAAACTTCAGCCCAAAGGAGGATTTACAGAAAGGGTGCTGATCGGTCATATAGACTCTCAGTGGTGAACAGCCAAGACTAGACAGGAAGGGCCATGCCTGGACTGCAGGAATCTGTGGACTTCGTCTTTACAACTTAGTGACAAGTATGTCCACATTTTGGTAACCTCTGTTTTCTGTATCTAAATTTCAAATTCTCTGAAGGTAGATTTTGATGGGCCCAGCTTGGGTCTGTGTCAGGCGATCGCTCTTGACCAATGAGAGAGGGGAGGGAAGTGGCAGGTGCTAGTAGTACAGTAACGATGGTTGGAGCCTAAGTCTGGGTATCACAGGCAGCACCCATACCAGGGGAAGGACATGTCTCCATATAATGCACCGACAACACTGTGCAGTCATTGTGGGAGTCCCGAAACCGTGTCCAGAATGAGGCATTCTGGTTGACAGCATATGGCAGAGATTTTAAGCCCAAACTTAAAATTTACATTCTTTGAAATTTTTAAGTGTATTTCCTTTCCTTATTAGATAGACTTGTTGAAGTAATTTAATGTTTTAGGAATTCAGAATTATGGAAGTGAATTATTATACAGTATTATAACATAATGGTTGTCTCAAGAACCACTGAGGGATACGGCAGGCAGGCTGGGGACTCGGGTGAGGAAAGGGAGGCAACTGGGAGGGAACATTTAAGGAGGCACTCAGTCCAGCATGAGAGTGAGTTATGCCTACTTCCTTAAATGTTACATCCTAGGCACCTCACTTGCTGTGCCCTGCTCTGGGCCCTGTAAGAGGGTATATCTTTTCTTATACAAAAATAGCTTCATCTTATTCACCTGGGTAGTTTTGTCAGCTGTTTTTGTAGGGCCCTCATTACAATCATTCTCACTTCCCTACCCATTCAAACTTTTAAAATCTTTTGTTTCCTCTAACTCTGGCGTCCTAATAGCCCTTAACTCCCACCCCAGCACCAATCTAGGGAAATCCTAATTTTAAAAATTTTATCCTGTGGTTCCTTTGCCATTCACCACCATAAATGTCAGTGTAACACTCGTATGTTCATAAGTATTCAGACCAATTTAAGACTTTTAAAACAGGGTCATATTTGGAATAATACTAAATGAGTAATCATTGTGTGCTACTGTATTGGGATAAATACATTTCCAATTAGAGTATTTGTCCTGATTTTTAGATTTGAAAATACACAGTTATCACAATACTCTAGGGAGAACTAAAGATTTGAAGGAGAAGGCAGGCAACTACAATAAAAAGTTATGTACTACCCTTTAGATAAGGCTCTTAAGACAATCGCAATTTTTGTGTGAGTCCTTGGGGATAATTATAGTTCTGGCCGGTGGAGAAATAGCTCATGACTTTTTGACAGATTCTAAACATTTCTAGGCTTCGTGTGGCTGTTGAGAGTCTAATTCTGAGTGTAAGGGGTGATTCCCAAACAAAGGTGACATACTGATTGTATAGTAATAGAACATCATTAGCCAGGAGGGGAAGCCAACCTCAGGTTATCTTCCTTGCTGTCTTCTAACTTGCTAGATTGCCGTGGATAAGTCACTTACTCTCCCCGATGCACAGTTTTCAGGCCTATTATTAGAGTGGACAATTTTGAAGTCCCCTTCAGCTGTAATATTTTCTGTTTTCATTATATCAAAGCAAGTTGGCTACTTGAAATATAAAACTTGAAAAAACATTTCTAGCATTTCAGGTGATCTATATAAGCAGTGAAACCATTCATCCTAAGGGTTTTCTTTGTGGCACTCACTTCATATTTAGCATAAGAACCAAATGCAGTGCCTCTGTGACCTGTGATTATGGCTCCAAGTCATTCCAGTGGTATGACAGTTTTGGTTTTTCTCTATCTGTATACTGTCTGCACAACTTCATGCAAATTGAATTTTAAAAAATTAACTAATGGGTGGTTTGCCTCCAAAACACAAGACAGTGAACTTCCTCAATCTGAGGACAAAATTGTAATGTCCATTTGTTCTGGTATTACAGAGAACTAGTCTTTGTATAATAAAAAATTAAAAAAGCCCAGGGATCTAGTTTGGTTTAATATTCTTGCCTGCTTTTACATTTTCAACTTTATGAATGTAATTATTCTTTTAGGGGATATGTTACTGGTTCATTTGTGTCCCCTGCGAAAAGATATGTTGGTCTCCTAACCGCTAGTACCTCAGAATGTGATGCTGTTTGGAGACAAAGTCTTTCCAAAAATAATAAAATTAAAATGAAGTCTTTAGGGTGGGCCCTAAGCCAATATGACTGATGTCTTTGTAAAAGGGGGAAATTTGAACACAGTTACGCACACAGGGAAAATGCCATGTGAAGATGAAGGCACAGATCTAGATAGCAGTGGTGCTCCTCTGAGCCAAGGAATTCCAAAGGTTGCCAGCAAACTACCAGAAGTTAGGCAAGAGGCGTGGAACAGATTCCTCCTGTCTGCCCCTCAGAATGATCCAACCCTGCCAACACCTTGATCTTGAGCTTCCAGCTTCCGGAACTGTGAGACGATAAATTTCTGTTGTTTAAGCCACCCACCTTGCGGTACCTTATTTCAGCAGCCCTAGCAAGCTAATACAGGTACCTGTTAGAACACAGTCTAGATAAAAATCCCCTAGTAATTTCAGTGCTGGTTTTGGACACACACATTCACATGCACACACATTCTAAAATTACACATATATATTTTTAGATATCATAGGGAAACAAAAAGTGTGCCTTAAAGGGGACCCCTTAGAATTTGTACTTAATACACACGCTCACCAGCGGCTCATTGCTTTAAGAACCTTGTTTTATTCTGAACCTTATTTATATAGTAACCTCATTTATTGGTTGCTACTGGAATAATTTTCAGAATCATCTTGCTACAGATAATTAGAAATTTAATCTAGAACATTTATGAATCATCACTAGGCAAAAATTTTCTGTAACAAAGAGTGTTCCCACCACCCCAAGAAAAAAATAACAGTGTTAGGCTGTTAGTGAGTTTATGTGATATAAGATCATTCATATCTTTCTTTCTCTAGGAAATATTGATAAACTATCCTTAAATATTGTTACTTTCTTCTTTAAAATCTCATGAAAAAGAAAATGCTATAACCTTCCTGTTTTCTCTTCTAGCATTTCAGAGTCCCCTAAAGGAAGACAATTCTTTCTAAGTAAAATTCCTGTTTTTAGGATGTATGCTTGAAATTTTTTTACATACAGTAAGAAATAAAACGCCAATTCCTGCAACTACCACCTATTGTCACGTGGATGTAATGAATATAGAAATCAAATGATATTTTTAGTCACTTCTATTTGCTTTGTCAGTTTCAAATTAAGATTATATGCTTATAGGAATGTTGTTTTCCTTTCTGGCTCACTAGGCTGTGTATTTTTTTTTCCCTCTATGATATACAGGGAGGAGAAGTAGGACAATTTAAATATATCTTCTGAGCCAAGAAAACTAGCAAGCAATAATCACAATTTTAAGGAAAAATAAGAAATGGTAACAGTGTTTAAGTGGAAGGTTACATCATGTTTGGATTCTGTTAATTACTGCTACCAGTCCACAAGCTGTCGAAAAATTCCCCTGGAGATTATTTCAAATCTATTTATGGAATCTTCAGAGAAGCAGCTATGAGAAAGTCTTTTTGATATTCTCTTTAGACTTTCATTTTCCATAGCTCTCAATTAATTGCTTGGAATGAGGATGTATATTAGCCTAAATATGCAGGGGTCATAATTTTCTGACCCACTTCCTTCTTCATGTCCAAATACATTTGGAGAGAATTCTTTCCAGATTCTGTTTGTCTGCTCTATTAACTTACAATGACATCTTTTCAACTATTTTGGCTTTAAAAGTGTCCTGTAGCTTTAAAGTAGCAATTTCCTCTTTGAAGGGATCCATTACCATGTCTACAAAAATGTGGGGGGGGGGTTGAAAATGCTCCTCCACAGTAATGAGGAACTGGTGGAGAGAACTTAGAACTGAGATGAGCAGACAGATTAAACATGGGAGAAAATTAACTTGAGAAGGGAGGTGAATCGTAGAGGGAAGCAGGGTGTAGCCTTCTTGTCAAATGGGCTTATTTCGGCAGTTTTCCCTTTCTTCAGGTTACAGTGGAAGTTTCTGTCTTCTTTATTTGAAAATCATAATTGATCTTTT